CAAGACGGAGGTTATGAAAATAACCAACCAACAACAGCAACAACATCCAACGTCAATCACCATCAACAGGAGGGATTTGAAAGAGGTTACTTCATTCACTTATCTAGGGAGCATTGTCTCAACTACGGGCAGTCGGAATGGACGAGGATGTCATATCGAACGAGAATCGGTTGGGGGGCGAGAAACACATTCATCAACCTGAAATCAATCTGGAAATCTTCGTCACTCAGCATCATGATGCTGATCAATTAATCTTCTTTGACGATGCAGCGCTAGTCAATTTTGACTTAAGACGTTATAAGTCAATATTCTATCGGCGTCTCAAAAAGTACAATCTGGATTGGAAGAAGCGTGTAGAAGGTAAGCTTGTCCTTTCATATTAATGTACACAGAATCATATGCGAAAATTCGTGAAAGTGAACCACAGCCTGAAACAATGCCAGGAAACATGGTTACTCCCCAACAAATTATCGTTCCAGTTGATGTTCATTGTAATAGAATGGCACCTGCACCGTCATTGGATGAACATTTACCGAATGGACAACTGTCTGCAACAGAGGAAGCTGACCAAACCGAGTGCACTCCAGTGGATTCTGTTCGCAACGTCGTCTACAGATGCAAGCTGAATATGACTAATACTCGTATTTTGCTGGAAGAATTAAGGCCCCATCATCGTGAGCTGCCGACTGACCCTCGGACATTGATGAGGACTAAAGACTTTTTTGAAAGGAGAGCAGTTGGTACTGGAATATATGTTCACATTGGTCTTCGTCGTCAGATTTTATCTCGGTTACAAATTGTCAGATATGAAGTCTCTGTGCCAATTGCTCTTCAGCTGAACATTGATGGTGCCCCAATTTTCAACAACTCCAAATTACAGATGTGGCCAATACAAGGGAAGTTACTTTTGTCGGGCTGTGACAAGGTATTTTTGGTAGGAGTCTACTGTGGTTCGTGTAAACCTTTAAGTATACACAGTTTTTTTGAGGGACACTATCATGGAATTAGAAAACATTTGTGCTAAGGGTGTCACATTACCCAACAATCATCGCATAGACATTGTACTTAAGGCCGTCATCTGTGACACACCAGCAAGAGCACTAGTTAAGCAAATAAGTGGTCATAATTCAACACAAGGATGCGATAAATGTGAGGCTTTATGCCGTCGTGCTAATCATCGCATCGTTTTTCCTACTACATGTGCTGCTTTAAGAACAGACATGTCTTTTCGCAACCAAACTTTGCCATGTCACCAGAAGGGTAAATCTCCTTTCGTGAGATTGCATGTAGACATGATCACTGTTTTTCCTATAGATAGCATGCATCTCATATACTTAGGTGTAGTTCGAAAGTTGATTGGCCTGTGGAAATCGATGGCCACATCTAGGGCAGATGGCATGCATACTACGATATTGAACACTGTTAACTGCAGACTACTCAGCTCACACAAGTTGACTCCTTTTGAATTCCAGCGTAAGTGTCGAACATTAGACGACGTTGACCATTGGAACGCAACAGAGTGTAGGCTTTTTCTTTTATATTTAGGAGTGGTATACCTTAAAGACGTATTACCACCTTGCTTTGATGAGAACTTCTTCGATTTATTCTTGGCATGTTACATCTTAAGTCACCCGGCTTATTCTTCCTATTACCTAGATGACGCGAAGGGTTTATTATTGAAATTCGTTGGGAACTTTAGGTCATTATTTGGGGGAGAAAACATGGTCTACAATATCCATGGATTACTTCATATTTGTGGGGACGTGAAACAACACGGACCACTGGACACTTTCTCATGTTTCCCATTCGAATCTAACATGCGTTTTCTCCAGACTCTAGTCAAAGGTCCCAATAACCCAGCAGTTCAGATAGGTAAACGCATAGGAGGAAGATGGTTAGTCGAAGCTGATTCTGTAAAATCAGAGATAACTCCTAATGTATCTGTAAATGTGTCTAAGCAGACTGCTACGTTTTCCAACTTTAAAATAAGCTCATATCCTCCTGACAATTGCTTTGTGGTAGGCAATACACCAGGAGTGGTTTCAGAAATTGTAAGCGGAAATCAGTTTCGATTCCGAGCTTATAAGAACCCAAAGAGCTTTTTTAAAAACCCACTAGATTCCAGGGACATTGGGATATATCAGGTAGATAACTTTGAGGGTGACACAAGTTTACGGGCTTTCAGTGAAATTCGGGCGAAGTGCATTAAATCTCGAAAAATACCCATTTATTCATGAGTAAAAACACAGTTTTTGTTCAGCGAAGAAATTTCTTCTCAACGACTTCATTTTCAAGCTGTACAGTCGTATTTATATTACAGAAAAAGGTTATTAAGTGGCACTAAATAATTGCTCAGTCAATGTACGGATATATGTGATAAAAGTTATAAGGGGTAGAGTTGAAGTGGATAAATTACAGAATTATTAAAGATTGTTTCATAAGTGAATTGATATCAAAAGTGTCAAGTGTTATCTAAAAATTTTAAAAATTAGCAGTACGATTACGATAAGAATGAAGATGTGAAGTGAAGTGGAAAGAATTCAAGTGGTAAAATAAAATAAAAACTAGAAAGAACATTATTATGACCAAGGTAAAGAAAGGGGTTTGACAAAACGCTTTTGAACACATAATTTAGGTTTCTGTTCATGTACAGCTAAAGCTTCGGCTATGCATAAGTGAAGAAAACGTAAACTTTTGGAACGGTTCGATTTTGCCATGTAGATAAATTTGAAAGATGAATCACGAGGGACTAAATGACCAGATTCTAAAAGGTGATCACAAATAGACGACTTTGCAGTTCTACGTTCGCCTTTCATTAACCAAACCGGATAGGGTTCAGCTACATGTTTTCGGAGATTACGCTTACAACGTCCAATATAAACAGCTCCACAAGAGCAGGTAAAAGAGTAAATACACATAGATGTGGACATAGAAGTGCTGTCAATGGAGCTGAAGATTGAACGATCTATTCTTGGTTGTTTGCTCAAAATCAACTTCCCCGATTTTCGCGGAGGCATCAATACGACAGTCATCGTCTCATCGGTCGCTGTTCAGAAAGAAGAGTAAAATATCGTCATAAGTAATACAATGATTTATTATTGTAATATTTGTTTACAGACCTTAGTTCGCTTATTCCTTTTATATGTTGGTGTAACAATAAACAAATATCACGCGGCAGATCGGTGTTTTGGTTTTTGCGTCCGTTATAACTAAGCGTTTCCGAAATCTTCGAAGAACAGCGTGGGCCCGAGCGCAGCGAGAGCTGGGCATTAACGGTTTATGAGACGTAATTGACAGTTTCTGACGATAGAAACAGATCTGGCGGATTCAAACAGTTGGTGAAAGTTTGGATAGTCGCCGTTCATTTTTCCTGGTGCCGGTCAAGTCCGCTTTGAACAAGCAATATCTGGAACACTCTTGGAATTGGGTCAAGTTCAACAATGCCTGGGTCAAAGAAGGGACAGAGTGTCTTGGATACAAACAGGAAAGTAAGTCATGGTGACTTGTCTGTTAATTGTAACGATGTGTCTGATGTTAAGCATGACATGGTTGATGTTACTGTTTCGCCGTTCAGGGATAATAGGAACATCAAACTCCCTAAATTTGAACCACGGTGTTTTGATGGAAACCCGGCTGATTATTTACAATTTGTAAAGGAGTTTGAGATCATGTTGAGTTGTTTTTTATTAAATGATGAATTGAAGTTAATGTATTTGATGAGATATTGCACTGGAGATGCTGCAAGAGCTATACAGTGCTGTAAGTTTATGAAGCCAAAAGAGGGCTACTACGAGGCTATGAGCATATTACGTCAAAGGTTTGGAAGACCTTCGATGATTGCAGGGAAATTATTCGAGGCTGTTAAGGGTAATGGTGGTCAATTACAGGATGACTCCCAGGCACTCACTGAGTTTTTAGATAATTTGCTAATTTACAAGAATGGAATGATTTCGATGAATCGCGTGAGTGACCTCAACTCGAGTTTTATACTAGAAGTAATAGCAAGACGTCTACCTACTCGACTGCAAAGGAAGTGGGTGAAGATAAGCTCCCATATGGAGGATGAGGGTATCGAGCCAAGGTTTGATGATATCCTGAAACTGGTAAAAGATAGCGTCAATCAATCTATGAGCAAGTTCGCCAGTCTATTACATCTCACCCCTAGAATAGAGCAGTCTGAGGTCAAAATGCAATCATTGATGACGAATAGGCCTCAGAGAGGTGGATATCGAGAAGGCTTGATGATGTCTAGTAATGCATATAGACCTAGTGAGTGTACCAGGTTTCGTAGTACATCCTCAACAGATAAGTTACAAGATGCAAGACAAACACGGTTTTGTTTTACACGTTTGCAAGAGGTGCATACAGAAGTGAACTGTGAACCAGTGAGCAAGTTCAGTGATAAGCTAAATGTAAACTCCAGGTCTGACTCCGAATTGTGTGACGATAACAGTGCGGTGAAGAAGTCTGTAGTTGCAACTGGTAAGCCGTTGTTGAATAGAGTGTCACAGAATAGAGTTACTGCTTCAGAGTGCAGTTCTGACTCCAAAAGTTTACAAGGTATAACTAGTCAGTGTGAAGATATAAAACCTTTAATGATTTGTGAGGAGGAACCAAAATTGTCTACTTCTGTTATTAAAGAGTTTGAAAATGATGAACTTGACGGTAAATTGAATATTTGTGGTAATGATCATGATAGTGCAGATTTGTCTTTGGTTGATCATTATGAGATGCGGGATATGCCTACTACTGCTAAGTTAAATAAAGGTTCTGTACAACTACAACGTGAAGTAGAATTGAACGCAGATGCAGTTCCAAAGGTGTGCATACTTGTGAGACAGTCAGTGTAATTGATCAGCGTGTAGCCCACCTATCATCAGATGATAGTGCTAAACCCGAACTAGTAGTGAAAGACAGCAGTGGTGGTAATCTTGCAGTCGGACAACTATCTGAACGCCGAAAAAGAACAGCTTCTGATCCACCGCTAAGTTCATCACCTTGTGTCACTCAGTCATCGTTGGTGCTGTCATCCACAATGAAACAGATGCCCATCAACTCAAGTATCTTCTGCAATGACTATGCTAGTATCAGTTCGTTTGAAAGGACGAATATCAATGGTCAGTTTAGTGAGGATAAGCCAAGTGTAAACCAGAGAGTAATTGTTAAATTGACTTGCACGAATAAAGGCATTTCTAGTTTCAAGTTACTATTTGAATGTTATTATCTTTGGTGTAAATTACTCTGTTTCTACACTTGGTTGATGAGATATGTCGTGTGTTTGTTGGTCATCTATATTCTACGATACAATGACATGGGCGTGTTGCCGTTCAGATTTGAGGATATAGCTGATAGAAGGAAGTTAGCAAATGAACTCTGCGACGATTTTCCAACCTAGAGCGTCAACCTGAGAAGGGTTGTAGGCGTACTGCTGTAAGTCCTACAATTCTCCAAAGGGTAGCGCATCAATGAGCAGTCCAATGTGCTTGGTGTGTGATTTTGTACATATGTTCATATTGCATATACTGAATTGATATCATCTTTCATCTATCTGTTGGTAATTCTGTTTGTGTCCGGACGACTTCCACTTGGATCATCAACCTGAGAAGGAATGTAGGCGTACTGCTGTAAGTCCTACAGTTCTTCAAGGGTCGTTTGTCGTGTCAGAATCCACAACATTTGATGTGTTGATTGTACATATGTTTGTGTTAAATAGTTGTGTGAGTTCCAATTGATGTAATTGTTGGTTAATCTTGTTTGTGTCTGGACATTCCACAACTTACAATCGTCAACCTGTGAAGGGTTGCAGGCGTACTGGTGTAAGTCCTCCAATTCTTCAAAATAATTCCACCAAGACATGATCGCGAGGTTGTTTGTACTGTTTGTATATACGTGTGGTGTGTCATAGCAATTGGTGATTTTGGATTCATTGTGTTTACTCGTTGTTTTCGTGCCTTGTTTTTATTGCATAATTTTGTTAAAATTTTCGTCGTGATTACTTCTGAAGTTGTTTCTTGTCTTCTACATCCATGAATGAATTGATTGATGTTAGAGACAGCAGAAGGGTCGTATACGCCGGGGAGGCTAGGCTATTGCTGAGAATGAAATGCACACGGAGATAATTGTTAGCTGCGGTCCGACACGCCGGGGAGAAAGAGTGTAAACGACTGAGGCTCGCATACGTCACCGTTACTAGAACTGAGGCAGAATGAGTGACAAGCGATTTCAGTGATAATTGATAGTGAATAGAAAAGAGGATGCTTGAAGAGTATCATGAGGTGCTGCTATGGTCACGTTGCATTCTGCAAGAGTCATTCTAGTAAGTGGCGATTGTGTTGCAAGATATCAAGAGGAGGTCTCTGTCTGGAGGCGCAGGTCGTCAGCGATGTGTGAGATTGTGCTGTGGGTATGATTGTGGTGTGTTGGCTTTTCTGTTTGTTTTCCATTTCAGCTCTGTCCGTGTGACCCAGGTTCTCGCAATGGCGTCCAAGTCAACGTGCATTGATCGTGAAGGAAAAAAGGGTTGGATCCCTTTTTTGCCGGGGAGTGTCAATGGAGCTGAAGATTGAACGATCAATTCTTGGTTGTTTGCTCAAAATCAACTTCCCCGATTTTCGCGGAGGCATCAATACGACAGTCATCGTCTCATCGGTCGCTGTTCAGAAAGAAGAGTAAAATATCGTCAGAAGTAATATAACGATTTATTATTGTAATATTTGTTTACAGACCTTAGTTCGCTTATTCCTTTTATATGTTGGTGTAACAATAAACAAATATCACGCGGCAGATCGGTGTTTTGGTTTTTGCGTCCGTTATAACTAAGCGTTTCCGAAATCTTCGAAGAACAGCGTGGGCCCGAGCGCAGCGAGAGCTGGGCATTAACGGTTTATGAGACGTGATTGACAAGGAGTCTACTGTGGTTCGTGTAAACCTTTAAGTATACACAGTTTTTTGAGGGACACTATCATGGAAGAAAACATTTGTGCTAAGGGTGTCACATTACCCAACAATCATCGCATAGACATTGTACTTAAGGCCGTCATCTGTGACACACCAGCAAGAGCACTAGTTAAGCAAATAAGTGGTCATAATTCAACACAAGGATGCGATAAATGTGAGGCTTTATGCCGTCGTGCTAATCATCGCATCGTTTTTCCTACTACATGTGCTGCTTTAAGAACAGACATGTCTTTTCGCAACCAAACTTTGCCATGTCACCAGAAGGGTAAATCTCCTTTCGTGAGATTGCATGTAGACATGATCACTGTTTTTCCTATAGATAGCATGCATCTCATATACTTAGGTGTAGTTCGAAAGTTGATTGGCCTGTGGAAATCGATGGCCACATCTAGGGCAGATGGCATGCATACTACGATATTGAACACTGTTAACTGCAGACTACTCAGCTCACACAAGTTGACTCCTTTTGAATTCCAGCGTAAGTGTCGAACATTAGACGACGTTGACCATTGGAACGCAACAGAGTGTAGGCTTTTTCTTTTATATTTAGGAGTGGTATACCTTAAAGACGTATTACCACCTTGCTTTGATGAGAACTTCTTCGATTTATTCTTGGCATGTTACATCTTAAGTCACCCGGCTTATTCTTCCTATTACCTAGATGACGCGAAGGGTTTATTATTGAAATTCGTTGGGAACTTTAGGTCATTATTTGGGGGAGAAAACATGGTCTACAATATCCATGGATTACTTCATATTTGTGAGGACGTGAAACAACACGGACCACTGGACACTTTCTCATGTTTCCCATTCGAATCTAACATGCGTTTTCTCCAGACTTTAGTCAAAGGTCCCAATAACCCAGCAGTTCAGATAGGTAAACGCATAGGAGGAAGATGGTTAGTCGAAGCTGATTCTGTAAAATCAGAGATAACTCCTAATGTATCTGTAAATGTGTCTAAGCAGACTGTTACGTTTTCCAACTTTAAAATAAGCTCATATCCTCCTGACAATTGCTTTGTGGTAGGCAATACACCAGGAGTGGTTTCAGAAATTGTAAGCGGAAATCAGTTTCGATTCCGAGCTTATAAGAACCCAAAGAGCTTTTTTAAAAACCCACTAGATTCCAGGGACATTGGGATATATCAGGTAGATAACTTTGAGGGTGACACAAGTTTACGGGCTTTCAGTGAAATTCGGGCGAAGTGCATTAAATCTCGAAAAATACCCATTTATTCATAAGTAAAAACACAGTTTTTGTTCAGCGAAGAAATTTCTTCTCAACGACTTCATTTTCAAGCTGTACAGTCGTATTTATATTACAGAAAAAGGTTATTAAGTGGCACTAAATAATTGCTCAGTCAATGTACGGATATATGTGATAAAAGTTATAAGGGGTAGAGTTGAAGTGGATAAATTACAGAATTATTAAAGATTGTTTCATAAGTGAATTGATATCAAAAGTGTCAAGTGTTATCTAAAAATTCTAGAAATTAGCAGTACGATTACGATAAGAATGAAGATGTGAAGTGAAGTGGAAAGAATTCAAGTGGTAAAATAAAATAAAAACTAGAAAGAACATTATTATGACCAAGGTAAAGAAAGGGGTTTGACAAAACGCTTTTGAACACATAATTTAGGTTTCTGTTCATGTATAGCTAAAGCTTCGGCTATGCATAAGTGAAGAAAACGTAAACTTTTGGAACGGTTCGATTTTGCCATGTAGATAACTTTGAAAGATGAATCACGTGGGGCTAAATGACCAGATTCTAACAGGTGATCACAAATAGACGACTTTGCAGTTCTACGTTCGCCTTTCATTAACCAAACCGGATAGTGTTCAGCTACACGTTTTCGGAGATTACGCTTACAACGTCCAATATAAACAGCTCCACAAGAGCAGGTAAAAGAGTAAATACACATAGATGTGGACATAGAAGTGCATTAGCTTAAGTCTTTTGCATAACTCCGTTATAATTTCCATATTGCACACCTCTAAATTGTCGTGACTTAAAGAGTACTACAGTTTACAGTGAGCCACAGTTGACCGACATCAAGGATACAAACAAATTGTATTAACTTATGCAAACTGTGTTTACAATCGTTATTCCATTCTCCTCCATTGTATATATACATATATCTTGTTTCAGTGAAAACTTTTAAACATGCATACTCCATGTGTATAGGAAAAAATATGTACCTTATCACATATATTATTATTATATCTATCATTATATATATATATATTATTATTAATATTAAATGGTGAGTTTACTTTTGCATTCATCTACCCTCATTATAATATGGACACTTATCAATATACGTATTGCAAGACTTCCCTTCTTCCAGTGTACCTATTTTCCTATCTAACAGTCGTACATTATTTGCAGTTGACTAAGCAGTTCCTGTTAGTCCAGTTACCTGTCCTGAATAAGATGTTGGTGGTTAGCGAGGTGACGGTGACTGGTGAATACTTGCCCCTGCCTCGGTCGTATTCATCTGCTGATGTCATTGCACATGCAGAGGTAGTTGAGGGTTCAAGTACGGCCTACAAGTACACCCTTATGGGACGCTTCAGTAACATCAAATCTTTTATAATGTTCCTTTTCAGATGATTTTGACCAGGCATTTGCATTGAAGACAGCATTTGAAGCTGTGTAAAGAACAACGGGTGACTCGTCATTTGAGAACACGGAGCCTGCAAGCCAATGCAGGGTAAACCGGTAAGCTATTATTCTTGACTCATCTTCCCAGTGTTTCGAAGCCACCAAGAGAACTTTTGGAGAATGCTGCTCCGTTGAACTACCCTTCTCGGTTGTTGGCTGACCCAGATTTTCAGTTGGAGACACCTCCTTTCCGAAAGCCACCCATTGTGGATAAAAATGAAAGGTATATTACAGTTAACTTGAAAATTTCATTTCAGCTTGTCGTCTGTCGCTTCCACATCAAATGCCAACATTCCCTCTTCTGTGGACATGTAAGTTCAATTTAATTTAAAAATATTACTTGCAGGTGCCCAAGCACTGACGAGACAGGTACTTGTACATCTGGTTGTTGGAAAGAGATAAGGGCTTTACGTTCCTTCCAGGCACGAACGGAGTCACGTCTCTCTGAGCTTGAGGCTAAACTCTCGCTAGTCAACGTTGTCGACAGCATTGACAAGAATATCTCGTGTGTCAATTCCGTTCAAATTTTAAAGAGTTCTGGCAGATGGCAGTTAGACAGCGACGCCGTCATGTCATCGTTTGAGGCAAAACTGTCCCAAGACGAATATCGTCATGATGTGTCGGCGGATCTTTCTAGTTTGGTTGACGGGGACGTGCAAACCTCCGTTGGTCGCATAATGAATGTCTTGCTGGGGCCGAACTACAGCTCACATTTTTCATGGGCTAGCACCAAGGAAAAAAAGAAGTTCAAGGACACGAAGACGTGTAACCTTGTGATACGTAGGTGAAATTTTTTTCATTGTTGTCTCTCTAAGAACTATTAGCAGTTTACATAAACTAGGTAATGCTGACCGACGGACCACAGTGAACGCTATCACGGCTTCAATTCAACGTTGGTTCCATAACAGTCGGGACAGACTGAAGTTGAGGATTAGAAGGCGACGGCGTT